TTTGAAATATTAGAATATCTGATGAAGTATTGTTGAGCCTATCGGGTAAGTCCTAAATTAAGGATCAACCTAAAAGGTTGTATTCTAAAAATAACATGTAATTGTGACTTGATTATTATAAGACCACCATCAAAATTGTCGGAGAAAAGTATACCATATGTTAGTAACAGAATATAAATAATCGATAAAAAATATTTCTCATGTTTGAAACGATTTGAAGACTTATATCGAAAAATTTCGTTGAAAATACCAGTTCGAAATTTTTGAAACTCACGGGTTCTAATGTGCAATATTTTCATGACATATTTAAAGAAAAAAAAGAAAGTAGATTGAAAAGTAATATAATTAAATAGTTAAACTTTGTAATCATTTTCACAATATAGCTATGGACATTTTAAGAATGAAACATTTTCTGCATGAATTAAAAGTGCATAGTATGTTTTCTCTTCTGGTTAGACAACAAGCTACTCTATTATTCTCTTTGTTAGATTAAGTAATGATTCATTGAGTTAGAATCCATTTGATTTATTTTCAAACACAAATGATGGCTTTATATATGAGTAGAATGTGAATATTTTGTGTTTACTTCAATGATAATATTTATGTGTCCTCAGAAAACAATTTAGATCTTTGTTTGAATGTTTATTATGAAAAATAAAATAAAATTAAGGACTACTATGAGTTTTGTCAATAATGTAATTCAATTTAATCATCATTTTATAACTTCGAATAAATTCAACTGACGATTATTATTAGATATTAATATTTTAGGCTAGCACAAACATTTCGATCATCAGAAACGGCTATAAAAAGAATCCGACTTCAGACTTAATCAGTCAAGGTTGGCGACTATGTTTCTTTAGTTTTAATCGTATATTGTCTAAGTTAAACTGCTTTGTCGTATAAGACTTAATCCTCCTATATCGATTAGGCTGTGTCCCACGCTGTGTATGTTTTCTATCTTTATGACAGCACTGTTTCATCAATAGGATTCAAACATAGAGATTATCATCCACATTCTAATTATGTTCATAGTACATCAGTAACAAAAAGAATGCACACAAAGATAATATTTATTTGTAAAAGAATACAATCATCAGCTCTTGAAATAATTTAGTTCTCTAATACAATTATACGAAACTATAGAAGTATATCTTTGTGAATCTGAGAATTATTGCTGACATCTTTCAGACATTGTAAAGCTGTATTTCAATTAGGATCGTCCCAGTTGAACATCGAAATTTGAATGAATTTTGTATTGAGTACCTAGACTATTATAAATAAATTCTTTCATGTATGTTGGTTACCTATGAAGTACAGAGACAAAACAAAAACTATGCAAATGAAAAGTTCGTTTCTCCAGAACTTGATCAACAAACCAGACAAGAATTTTCCACCATGCGTTCAAATCTTCTATTCATGGTTCTGTTTTGATTATTTTCAGGTATACTCAGAAAACATCAAAGTCAGCTACTTTTATTGCAAAAAAAGACATCCAGATGCTTTAAAAAGATATTTTTTTTGCCATCTGGAAAACGTACAAAAATATTTTTTTTACAATATTTTGACGTGCTTTCCAGACAAAAAATGACGTTCTTATGAGTCATGTTTGTCAGGAATATTGTAAGAAAAATTTTTTTTTCGTATCTTCCAGATGTACAAGTTGTTCTTTTAAGCATATTCATGCATGTAGTGGTGAAAGTACTTGATTTTGATTTGTACTGGATTGATGTGAAACCGTTATTAAAGCATTTAAACGTATTTTTAGAAAATCTTATCTACTTGTATAGCTCGAAAAGAGTTAACCAAAGTTTGGTGTTATCAGAAAACGAAGTTTAAGTAAAAAAAAACAGATCATCAGAGTAACGATATTTGTATCCATCGAAATGGAAATAATGATCGCAATATATATTATTTATTGATTTATTTCGTTATTTTTATGGTGCATTGTTAACAATTATCATAACAACTGTCGATTTTCACTATTTTTGAGTTGTGTACGACTTGTTCTATACAATATCGTTTGTTATGATATATAAACAATAGTACCTAGCGTAGATAATTATGAATGAAAGTGAAAATATCTGTGACATCTTCGAAATCGTTTGATATCGCTTCCGTTTAACAAATATTCATATAGCTTGAACGATATATTAATTATTGTTAATGGATTTATCTTATTTCATCATGTTTCTCTTCAGATAATATCACTTGACAGAGTTACATGATTTTCTAGTTCAACAATTCAAATTTCATTGCATCGTAAGATCAATTTTGTAGAAATGGACATTGTTGACGAGGCACTTTTTTTTTACTGATTTCATGTTTCATTACTAAAATAGCAACAATAATTTTTCTTATTGTTCTTTTTTCACTCGTTTGTTATGGTTGGGTTTTTTTTTATGTAGAGCGTTCATTTGCTGTTGTTATGTGGCATCGCATAGCAGTTACAAGTGGTCGTTGAGTAGCGACAAAAAAATAAATAACCGAGTTTTAACCATTTTTCAGCTCAATATGCTTAACTTTACAACCAAGTACATTGCTATTAGATTTAGTTGAATCCTTATTATTTCTAAAAATTGTTTCATAAATCCTTATTTGTTCGTTAATAAGAAGCAGAAAAACAAGGCATGAGTTTTAACACTCAAGTATGAATTTGTCGGTTTATGCAATTCATAAAATATTTGTTCGTATAAATAATTTCAGCATCCAATTCTCGACTAATAAACAAAACTTTCAAGGCTTCATCTTTTTTGTGTTAAAATAAAGATAATACTTCTTTTTTCATCGTTTGTTTCATTGATTGTCAACTGTAACAAAACGAAACTACATTACGAAACTCGCAAAGAAAAACCTAATGAAAACATAAGAGTTCTTGATTACCTATGTCAAAACATTTCTCTTACAGCTCTTACTTCCTAAAATGAAATACAACATTTTCTATTTCAATATGAAAATGTAAGAATCTTAACCTCACAATGCATTTTTATTATTAAAATCAACGATGCTAAATCCTCATCATATTTGTGATTGAGTGATCATGTGGTACCATACTATCTATTAACACTATCATCATTCGATAGAGAACTCTATTCTGCATATCCAGTAGAACCGATGAGATCATTAGTACAACTACAGCAGACAATACTCAAATTCGTTATTGATTCAAAAATTTTTTTCCAGGTGAATTTTTATTCCTCAAATCTTCATCAGTCAAAAAATTTCATTACATAATAATCATGATATTGAATTTTATATAATGTGTTACATTTCTTGAATGTTAAAATGTATTTGCAAATGATTAATTTTTCCTGCTATACATTTCGTATAATTACAATATGACGAGCCATATTTTAATTAACAGTTGGTCTCTTTTTTCTTCGTTCAAAGAAAATAAATATTAAAAATAGAGAGTAAACAATTCCGAAAATTATTTTTGTCACCTTGACAAAAAGAAATCTTCTAGAAAAACAAAGTATTCAGCAATAAATATTTATTTGCAGAGGATTAAATGTTATTTTTAAACAACCTTGTTAGAACATCTCTTTTGCGGCTATCATGTAAAACTCATACGTGTTCTTTAGCACGATTATAGCGATACAAAACATGTCAAGTCAAAAGTCTCGAGTTATTTTTTCAAGGATAAACAATCTGTTACATTTAGTTCAGCAGTTTCTTTTGTCAGCACTCTATTTTTCTTTTGTTGCTCTTGCTGCTTATTCACACGATTCTATATATCGATTAAGATATACATTTTAGGGCTCACTGCAATATTATTTATCTCGATAAATTTAGAAATCTTGATACTGATTATTTCTCAAAGTTATACGTTGAGATCAATTTATGTTTTTTATGTTGACTCTATGACGATTGTTGAAAATGAATAAATCATTATCTATCAACCTTAACATCTTGAATATTAATTTTTATTTATGCAAAAATTAAAAATTGCACTACTTAGAACGTGTACAAACATATTCTAGGCATTGGAATATTCTAGAACATTCTATATCTTATTTTTTTAATGATATTCATCGCCTTTTTCTGTTGCTAAGAAACATTGAAAAAGAGTGTGATATTTGTTGTTCTCGATTGCTAGAATCTCAAGATGAGAGGACGAGCAGTAAAACCTATGATTTAAATTTATATTCACTATTTTCTTCGAAAATATATGCGAGTTCTACACAAAAGGCGGAATAATGTTTCTTTCTTTTTTCTCTTCTAAAATTGAATAAGATCGTACCAAAATTTATGTTAGACAACATAATAAGTATTGATTTTCAAGTGGCAAATAAATGTGATATAAGACGCTTATGAAAAGATAAACCATGATATATGATACTTCAAAGAAACTTAATGCCCGAACAAGAAAAGATTTCTATGCACAGTTTTAATGAGACTTTTTGTGAATAGCATATTGTAAAAAGACCTCTTTTTGTTCTTCATGAATCTTAAATCTTATCAACTCTTTTATTACACTTTAGTAAAATCAGGATTACAAAAGAAAATAAAACCCTAGTAATATATATTATCTAATATTGACTAATGACGTAGATGAGCATCTCATAAATAGTTATCATTCGATGAGACAATTCAATTCAAGGCATTAGAAAATCCATTGTTTTTTTTGTATATTTATTTTATTGACATGACACCAAAACAAAAACCAAAGAAACGAGTTCACCGGTAGATTGTGCGCAGGTTTTTTTTTCTTACGAATTACTGACAACAGCAAAAGCGAAAGCAAGTTACGAACAATAAGCTAATGCACTGAATATCGATGAGAGAGAAAAAAAAACAACAACAGAAAAAATTTAAACGCTCCAGGCTTTTTAAATTCAAAAAAAAATGGAAATATGCTACATTAGTTCAGACCAGCTGTGACAAAATCAAAAATAAATTTAAACGAAAACAATAAAAATTCCTGCGCATGTATCCACTGTTATTTCTTTTCGTTTTAAATAGTATCTACCATTATCATCATCATCATCATCAGTAATCTAAAACTCACTAATAAGTGCATCAATACTTGCTAATTCTTGTTCAAGTTGATATTTAATATATGTATCACCGATAATTTTTTCTGGCCAATATTGCATAGGTAAATTTGTTTGATATTGATCATATTGATTTTCGAATAATTGCGAAGATTCATCATCCCATATGAATGGTGCAACAACATTTGAAAGTGTTCGAGTGACTGGTGATAGTTGTTGTTGATAACAAAATTCATTATTATTGATATTATCGGACATGAGAAGTCCCATGGCAAGTGATGGACTTTGAATCATAATTGAATCTTCACTTGTTTTGGGCATTATTGGTGATACTAATTTAAAGAAAAATAAATAAATTAGATAATTATAATCATTATAAATATTAATTTTATTGCATACCGAGATCAACATGTTCGACTTTAATTATTGTTTGCTCTTGTTCAATGTCTGTATGAACATATTTCATATATTCATTTCTCGTTGATGGACTAATAAAAAAAACATAAAGTTAAAAAAAAAAACAAAAAGAAACAAGATAAATTTACTCAATTAATTGAGCAATAATTGCATATTTAATTGATTTTGATCGTCGTTCACGAGTTGGCCGTATTTGACATAAAAATGTTAAACGATTGTCACCATTCTTTGTATATATATCAAATATATCATGAACATGTGTTGGTGTTTGTGCTAAAAATAAAAAATTTCTTTTCTTTTTTTGTTATTATAAGAAAATTAATCTTTTACAATTTGTACGTTGAATTGTTTCAAATTTTTCTAAATCATTTGTTTCGAGAAATCTTCCAAACCAATTTCCAATGATTTCATTTCTTGAATAACCAAGTATATCCTTTACACTAAAGAGCAAATCAATATGAAAAAAAAAAGATCTTTTCTACTATTATTATCAATAAATTACTTTGATGATATCATAGAAACAGTCATATCATCATTTAATGTTAATTTCATTGTTGTATTATTAATGAATGGTATTTGTGATGAACTCGTTCCATTTACTGTACGAGACACCAAAGCTTCACAACGTGCAATAAATAATCTATCATAACTTGGGTTATGACATGAATAAAAGTGGCCAGTCATAGTTATTGTCTAGATTTTTTTTTATTTATTTAATTAGGACAAAATGAGAGGAAAAAAAATAATTTTTTTTCTTTACCTTGATATCTTCTCGTGTACGACTAGGACGTTTTCCTTTTGGTAAACGAAGAGTACAAACCAAACGATGCTCTTTATTAGCTGGATCGTCCGATAAATTAAGAATTGATTGTAACTTGTCACTATCAGTTTTATCAAGACATTCGAAAATATTCATACATTGAGTATATAGTGAACGCTAAAAAAAAGATTTTTTTAAAATTGTTTAGAGAAAAAAAAGTTCAGAAAAGGATATTTTACCATAGTTTTGTTTAAATGATATTCGACTTCATCACTCATAGCTACAATACGACCATCAGTACGAAGAACGAGAACAAATTCACCATTCTTCACATTCGTGTGAATGCCTCGTACAAGTTCAACGTCACCTATAATAATAATAAAAATCATGAAACAATAATAGTAAAAAAAAAGAAGAACAAGAATTATTATTTTTACGTGAGTATTTAATGCCATTTAAATGTTTTTCTTTGACGAAACGTGCATTTGTTAAGCCCAAAATTTCATTTTTATTTTTTCGTCCACCTATACGTACAATTTCACGTTCGCCAGGTCGTCGCATTAATGTTGCTTCATAAAGTTTATTAATGATAGCATTAGTATCATCACGACGTTTTCGAAATGGCTAAATCATATAAAAATATAATGTTTTTTTTTTCTTATTAAAAGCTACATTTTAAATAAAAATTCTATCATTGAAAATGATTTTACAAAAACTTTTATGAATATTTATATTTGTAAATATATTAAATAATTCATTAGCTTATTTATAAACAAAGTAAAAAACAAAAATATAATTAAATATTTTATTTTCTTTTCTGTTTTGGATCATATATGAATATCAATATATGAATATTATTATTACCTTGTTAGCATCAAATTCTTTTTGTTGTCGACCAGTATCAATGTTTAAAAAGTCAAAATCAGTTATCGAGCCAGTCGATAAATCAAAGAATGAATTTTGATTTTGTTGTTCATATTGGTAATATGAATGTAAGGACATAATTTTTCTTTATTAGAGAATTGTATTGAACTTTGTAAGGGATAATCGCCTGCGATATGATTATAGGAGAAAACTCTGCCGCCAGCAGCAGAGACCAACTGTCGTTGAATAAGTTTAATGCACAAATGGCTGTTATTAGAAAACGTCACTTCTCTTTCTTTCTCTCTCTCATTTTTTTCTCTTTTTTCTCTTGTTTTCTTTTTCTCTTATTTTTGTTGCGAAGTCAATAGACTCTTCGTTTCCTTTTGATTCTCTTTTTCTTTTTTACATTTTCTAATAATTATATGATATTTTTCACTTGTATATATGTGTTTTTTAGGGACTTCCGTTTTTTTCCTCTTTCTCTTATTTGATTGGAGACAATTTTGGTTAGGTGACAAAAAAACAAAAATGCAAGGATAAAGAAAGATAATATTCGCTGCAGTTTTTTTTCCTCCTCCAGTTTTCTTTATTAGCTGTAAGCATTTATACTGCGTAGTTACCTATGTAAATATGAAGGTAACACGCAAGGAAAGAAAAAAAAGATGTCTACCGTCTAATACATTGATTGTATCTTATTATCTACAAAGAAGATAAAAATAACCAGATCGTGTTAGACACGAACTTATTTGTCTATTATGATATTAAAAGAAAAAAAATGTATTAAAATTCAACCTAAGAAATATTTTGATTGATTAAAAAGAAAACATCATAGACCATAAGTAGATATATATATATTACACATATTAGATTAATAAAAGTCATCGAACATCCTTCTAAGAACATTTCCGAGTATTTCTAAAAATCATATATACACGTACATGGAAGATTATAAATTAAATATAGAATATACGATTATATAGTACAGTAAATATTCAATAACATAGATAGGCATCTATATTAATCATTTTATTTGATCAAATAAGAAGAAGAACAACAATATGGATTTATTCAAATCTTGAATACAAAAAACGATACAACAAATTTTGTAAATCGTATATATATCCGTTGTCGGAATATTTCAAAATAATTTAAAACTGACTTTTTATTAGTTAAATGATTAAGTCATTGTATTTATTTGTCATAAAACCATAGAGAAAATATTGATGATTCAGAATGAATTTATGAAATCAAACACAAAACCTACATTTCAAATAAAGATTATATTCATCGCATAATCTTATTTAATATGTACACTATTTCAAAACTCTTAAAACCAAAGATCTATATACTAACGGCAATTATTTATTAACAGTTTTTACGCATTCTCGTGCATGCAAAGTGGTTTTAATAGACTATGTAATTCTGTAAATTTCTAAGATTTTCTTTTACCATCGATTACATTCTGAAATGAGAGTTGAAATCGTGCATAAAAATAAGAAATACAACCATTATTAATGGAACACATGCTGATATAAATATGGAGTAGATAATGGCAGTTTCCACCTTCTGCGGATGTTGAGCTTTTTTTTTATCGATATTTATTGTTTTAGTTAGAAAAAGAAAATAATAATTTAGTTATGTTCGTTTCTGATAAAATATCAGTAGATAAAGCAAAACTTAATCAAATAAAAAATTATGGAAAATTTGTGCAATTATCAAAATTAATACAGTGATGATTTTTAAATTAATCTTTTCTCATTTCAATGATTTTTTTGTCTATGAATACTACGTAATATTTTAATAAAAATTCAAACAGTATTTGGATACCTATAGAGATTTCACTAAGCTAACGAGTTTTTTAATACGTCTATTTTCTAGAGGCTCCACCTTTTCGAAATACTCAAATAGATTACTTTCCATAAACAAAAAGTCAGAAGTTTTGAACAAAGTTTCTTTAAGATCTGAAAATTTTACGATTGAGACTCTTTTTCTGTAGATATTGTATATAACATATATTTTTTAAAAACTTCATATCTCGAAGAGGCTTTGTTTAAAACCACTAAATTTTTAATGGAAGCTTATATAGTTGAGTTTTCTATATGCACAAAGCTTTAGATCAAAATTCGATCGGTATGTGAAATCTTAATAGGAACCTCATTCTTTTTATGAATTTTAGTAGAACTACATATAATATTTGTAGACAAAAAAAATCATTAAAACCAGAAGGATGCAGCTGAAGAGTTTCTCTCGTTAGTCTATCCTACGGAAGTTTGAGGCCCCTAGCGAAACTTTTGGAAAATGTATTTCTTTCTTCAAATATCTCTCTAGAGGGCTTAAAAGTTTGTAGAAGGGATTAAGTTCTCTAGCCCAAAACCTTGGCTCATTCAACAATTAAAAATTCCTATCATTTAATAATTTTCTAAGTTATTTTAGTAAGGAAAAAAAAAAGAATTTTTCCACTGAAGTCTTATTTAAAATTTTGTATGACAAAATCATTGTTTAACTAGAAACATTTATAAAGCATTATGTCAACATTTGAGAATATAAAATTATTAATTGATGATTGGTGTGGTTCAGTAAATAACATTGTTATTAAATATCATTTCTAGGTAGATGAAGTCTCTATTTTTGTGTATATTTATCCAGAATAATGTTTGAAGCATTCTTTAAAAATAATTTTTATTTGAAATAATCTAAAGTTTTATGTATGTAATCTTACATCAATTAATATCATCTAGCTTATTTACATGTTTTTCATTAAGCTATCTGAATAAATGTTTAAAAGAACAATTTACAAAGATTAACATGACTTAATTTATAAAAGAAGGACATTTTATAATCATTCATTTTATGAAGATGTTGCTTATCTCATGAAAAGGGTTGATGGCAAGATGTGCGTGTGATCGAGCTAGTAGTCTTTTATTCTCCTTTACATCTACGTCCATCTTATTTGAAAAGTTTATTCTAAACACTCATTTTTGTAAGAAAATCAATTTTACAAAAAAACTAGAAGATTTCATGAACTAAACACTATTTTTCATGTTATTTTTAAAATTATTTTTCGAAAACTAATTTCATTAAGCTCACAAAGAAAATCAAATCATGAGGCTCCTTTTGACTGTCATTACTTGATGAGTTTCAAGGATCATCTACTTGTATGATAAACGATGATAACAAATTCGGTTTTAATTTTATCGACAACACCAGTAACATCACATGAGAAAATTCAGACGTGTAAAAGTGATTTCATGAATATAGAATACATGCGAAATCTTTGTGCATTCCATTTCGTTTTTTGATGAATAGCTAATGTTTAAGGTTCTTTATCAAGATTTATCTAAACTGCTAGAGGATCGAAGATTTTTCATATCGTTATAAATTTTGTGTTGAGCAAAACATAAATTGATTGACATTACTAGAGCAAGTTATATTTACTTTTACTTATAAAAATAAATTACAATAATGAGCTTTAATGATTAAGAAAAGAGTATCTTGAAGGTAAAAAGAAATATTATTCTAAATAGCATACTGATATTGAACACGAAGAATTATCTGAAACAATAAAAGTAAATAAATAATTACATAAACATATGTCAGAGTTAACTTTAAAAGTTCATAAATCAAGTTTAAAGTGGAAGAATTAACTAAGATAAAACTAGAAGACTATTCAATTTTAAAGTTAACTATGATCATTTTTGATATCGGAAGATCTTTCAATATTTTTGAATCTGCTAATGAAAAATTTTTCAATCACGATTTGTAACCTATGCAAACGTCATTGTGAAGAAATAATCATGTTTTTTTTTGATACATACAGACAAAAGATCCACAACTGAAGTTTATATTTGATGATATTTTCATATTTTTGGTAATGCATGTTCAAGACCTAGTCTGAACATCTGTGAATATATATAATAGTTGAGTGGAAAACTTGAACGATGAAGATTTTTTTTTTGTATTACTGGGTCGTCTTTAAGCTAAGAGAAGTTAGTGATAACAAAAAAGTCGTTCGTTACCATAGATGCTTCATTCGCATATTGTATTTAGGGTTAATTTCACCGTTGCATATCCATTTGCATCAAACTGTATAAAATTTGAAAAGTGTTCGCGATGAGAAAACGTGATCACTGTGAGAACACGGAATACTTGATTATTCTGTAACTAATATCATAATAATAAAATTTTGAGAAGAGCTGTTTGTTATGATATATGATGATAAAATTAGATCATATTATCTTTGATGTGTATTTTTCTTGTGCTCTGCTCTAGGTACCTATTGGTATTATCTTTTGTTAATGAAATAGATAAAAACGTCATCAATGCAAGAAAACACTCATATCTTTCTTTATAACAGGATGAGATAGGAAAATCTCATCCTATGGGACATTTGTCAACATATTTACGTCTTATTTTACCTGATGAGATGCGAATTTCTCATCCTACATGAAGCTTTGACATATATAAATATCATTCGCACACTATAGACGTAGATAAAAACAACCATACATATTTATATCAATAGTGTTGTAACGCGCTGTTAACAAAAGTAAGTTTGAGTATTATTTCCCTCTTGTGTCCCTTACTATCGACATTCATCTTATAAGAAAAAATGGGCAAAGACTATTAAGCACACTAGATAAGTCTGATACTTCGATATCAATATTTATCAGTACCTTCAATACTAACTAGTAATCTACCGAATCCAAACTGTTTGAAAGTTAGATGTCGGCTTGGATCTACTACTTCAACTCGTCAAACCATTTAAGAATATTTCTATGGTTTAGATTGCAAAGTACTACAGTCAAATTATTTGAAAAATATAAATATTTAACCAATATCACATCTTCTCCTCGTATTCACTTTTCCAGATGCATTTCTTGACTGTTAGTGTAAATCTTAATAGTTACTTGAACTTGAAATCGATCACACTTACATCAAGATCCCTGCTCGAAGAAATCATTCATAGATATAAGACTATTGTCGGATTCTAGTTTTGATCCAAAAACACTATTTCAATGAGAGTCACAATGTGTTTTAAACACATTGGATCATATAAAACTGTCGACATATTAGCAGTCCTTTCCACAATATTGGACATTTTCTTCGCTAATAATCAAACAATTTCTTTAGGATAGCAG